TACTGGGTAGATACTTGTGGAAACGCAGCCAGGTAGAGTAGGGTAGGGCTGAGTAGAGTGGGGCCGAGCAGAGTGGGGCCCGAGGAGAGTGGGGCCGAGTAGAGTAGGGCCGAGTAGAGTAGGGCCGAGTAGAGTAGGGCTGAGTAGAGTAGGGCCGAGTAGAGTAGGGCCGAGTAGAGTAGGGCTGGTGGATACAGGGCGTGTGATTTAGCTCATATAGGATAAAGTCAGGTATCCAGCAGCAAAGAACACATCAATCAGTTCATATTCATTAATAAATAACTGCTCGCACCATGGTAGTTGCCTGCGTGCATCATCAGAGACCCCCCCATGTGGTCTGAGTTTGATGTGTTTTTCATCACCAGCTCTGGTCAAAGCCAAGCATCCACATCTGCACACGTGTAAGTAAGTAGTAAGTAATCTTTATTTATATACCGCCTTTTCACTGCACATCGGAGTCTCAAAGCAGTTTACAATTGTTACTGCTGTGCCAGTACAGGAGGCACATGCCAGACTTATTGTACATATTTACATACATATATTCCCCTACATATTTTTAGTGGTAGGGAAAACCGGAGCACCCGGAGGAAACCTACGCAGACACGGGGAGAACATGCAAACTCCACTCAGAAAGGCCCTGGTCCAACCGGGATTCGAACCCAGGACCTTCTTGCTGAGAGTCGAGAGTGCTATCCACTCAGCCACCGTGCCGCCAGGGTCCCCAGACGCTGCTTCTGACAGGCTGCTCTAATGGCATGGAACGAAGGGTCCAAAACTTAGGGAAGTGCTTGTGGGAGACGTTTTGCTCCAACTCACTCCAGCTCTGATGGACTTACGTTGAAGAGTAAACTTGCTCACTCCCCTTTTGTGTCACACACATTTTGGGTTTAAATAATCCACGGTTTATTGCTGTCTGTGTTTAAAATATGAATGTATTTATATCAACACTCCTCCTACGGACCAATACCTATGTTTTCTATACTCTTTGTGTTTGAACTGTTTGATTCTCTGATATGGGTTTGCTAAAGTCCTCTGAGATAACGACTGTTGTCATTTAGGGCTGATTATTGTGATAATGTCTGTAAATCTGGATATGAGCCCGAACAATAGAACAATCAAGAGCCTTTTGTAACCAATCTTAGCTTTAGCTAGTGAGCAGCACCGTTCCTGATTGATGCTTGATATCTTGGTCGCTGCTACCACAAAATGTGCATAAATTTGACTCCACATTCCAGATCAAATAGCCTGTTCGAGCTAGCTCTAATTGGCCTCTTCCACATTAAGGCTAACACTACAGTGAGGACGGCACTCGGTCATTCCAGTCCTAATGATGACATATTTCCCTACATGGACAATACAATCTAACTAAGCAAGTGTGAACCCAGATCAGGGCTAAATCTGAGAAAAGCTAGGAATAACCAGGACTTTATACAGTCGAACAGCAGGATTCATGTTCAGAATAAGGCAATAGAGGTCAAACTAAAAGCTGGTGTGCATAACTTTTTGTCTTAAATAATACATGTTCTTGGGCGGGACAGTGGCGCTTGTGCTTCACAGCAAAGAAGTCCTGAGTTCGATTCCACCCACAGGTCTTTCGGTGTGCATGTTCTCCCCGTGTCTGTGGAGGTTCTATCTGGGTGCTCCGGTTTCCCCTACCACTAAAAACATGTACAATATAGGTCTGGAATACTCCTGTAGGCAACCCCGCTGTGGAGAGATACATGGATGTGAGAACTAAAACCAGGAATTATAGTCACATGGATTTTAAAGTTTGGAACCCCAGCTTTTTCTTTGCACAGCTCAGCCTCAAATAGTCCCTCAATTGTTCAAATGTTTTCATGCAAATCCTTATCAACGCCCCAGATAAGACAATACTTGCTCTTTGTACGTCCCATTCACAGAAATACCCCACCGAATTATTAGATACTCAATAGAATCTCCACGGATAATCCCCCAGTCTTTAAATCACACGTTTCTATTTTCTAACACTCTGCTCTCCTCTTCATGAATGTTGAATCAGCCACTTGGGGACCGCACAACCAAAGACGTCCTTCACTTTTGCATCGTAATGTACTGACCTGTTCGCTACACCATCTCCCAGCAGCATTCTCGTCATAAACATACAGTGGATTGTGTGATCTGTGAGCAGGTCTCTCTACGACACAGTGTAGGGTTTGATAGTACGAAGCTGCAGTTATAATAATAATATAATGTAATGTTAGTTGTAGTAATCGATCATCTCTATCAGAGGTCTCGAGAGAAAATGGACGGCTTTGGTTGTTTCCATGTCTGCTTTGTCCTCTCACTCCATGCAGAGAGCAGAGTGGGGTCCTACCATGGATCTATTATAATAACTGGATAGGGTATTACTAGCTTGTAGCTGAATAACCCATGTGCTCGGGGGATTCTCGCGGTACTGCAGACTGAACCAGACTAAATTCAAGTGGGCTACCCAGAAATTTTCCCCATAGGACTCAATGCATATTAAAACAGCTCAACCTCAGCTGACAGGGAACCTACAGCTTTCATAAAGGTCGGATTTTGTGGGGATTTTAGTGTCCCTTGTCATCCTGAACTTTTTTTCTTCTGAAATCCTTCGGTTTTGTTTAAATCCACACGTCAGTGCCACAAGCTCGTCTGGCTCTCGCTCTAACTCTCGCTCTGATTGGTCAGAGCGCAGCCGAGCCCCTCTGTGCGCGTGCGTGAGACCCGGTGTGAGACCCACACACGCGTGTTTGGCGCAATGCATTATGGGAGATCATCCATAGCGCAGAACCGGGAGTGTCACTCCCGTATTCGTCCCGGAAATCGGATTCGTCCGGAAGTTCAGTTTGCGCATGTCAAAAAGTTGAATATGTCCTTAAGTGGAGACTGGTTAAGTTTAGGGTTAAGGGTGGGTTGGGGTTATTTTATGGGAATGGCTGGTTAAGTTTAGGCATGAATAGGTAGTTTTTTATATTTTCTTCCGCTTCCGTCCAGATTCCGTGACGTAATCTACTGCTGCGTATGCTCTTTGGATCAAACTGAACTTAATCCCCACAGACTGAGCTAGAATCTAACCTATCCCCCCAGCTCAACTGTAGACTATGTTCAAACTAAAGTTACCCTTGGACTAAACGAGCAAAATATACAACTCCATAAACAACAAACTGGAGAATAGAGCATTTAGACAGAAGGGGCGGGGGGACACGTTTGTGACATAAGCGTGGATGAAGCCAAAACCAACTCCAGGTCTGTCCCATTGTTCATTTTAAATTCATCTCATCTGATCACTGACTCTGGCCTGGTCTTAACCCTCCTGTTTTAGCGGACACTGGTGTGAGCTGAGGCTGAAAAAGCTCATCATATATTCATGACTTCATTTGCATTTCCAAGTCCCACTCCCGCCGCTAATTGAGAGCGGGGAATCTGCCGCGACACGGAGGTGAGTGACAGCGGAGCAGATTGTTACCACAGTGGGATGAGGCATATGAGCCATGTGGATCAGAGAAGGCTTTTTATCTGCTTTAACTGTACAGGCTGATGGAAGTGGGGTTCAATTGGATTACAGAACACATTTACCGAGATGAAATATTTGTTTACAAGTGTTTACGCAGCTAATAAAACACAAAAACATGAAAAAGAATCAAAGTTTTACCATAGTTATGTCATTATCAGTTTGTGTTTGTCTGATTGGTTGATTCGTTTTGAGCTGATTGAGGGAAAGGAAAGTGCATTATGGAGAAACAAATGCTCATATTTCTGAATTGAAATAGAAAATATGTTAACCCACTCTTTAACCATGGGTGATATATTGTTTTCCACCAGGTCATAAAGATTATAATTGTTCTATATCTCAATTGGCTGTGTTTTCAATTTTAAAGTTAACCTTACCTTGTTTCATTCAAAACAACCCATTCATAAAATAATCTTGTTAAAGTTATACATGTTTGGCTAATGCTTCTCACACCATTGGCTTTAAATACATCCTATGTTTGTTGTGTTTCTCAAGCTGTGGTACATGCATTATTAGTGGTACTTCAGGGCACAATTTTGTACTTTCTTAAACAGTACTAGTCGCTGTACTAGCAATCGTCCATAGAAACTTTACACTTCTTTTTACTTTATAATTCTTTCAACCTTATGATCTCATCTCCCCGGTCCATTCTCGATATTCTGCATTTGTTTATGTGTGTTTATTATATATTAGAAATAACAAAGGCTTTTAAAGAATTTCTCTATGTATATGTATTACTTTTTGCATAACTTGTTTGTACCTTATACCAAAGTGAATTCTTAGATAGTGACTTCATGTTACTTACATTGGCAAAAATAATAACAATTCTGATTCTGAGCTGGTTTCAGACCGTCTCCATCTCTAGTGAACTCTTGGGGTGTTTGTGAAGCCATATTGGTGCCTGTGGCTAGATAGATATTACAAAAGTGTTGACTAGAATAATTCCAAATTGGCAATAATTTCCACACAACAAACAAATAAAAATCAGCTCATAAAACAGAGACCATCTCATCTGCAAATGTGCAACATAATACATTTCTCTCAGTTCAAACACTGCTTAATACTAAAGCTGAGCAGTCTGGCAGTGTTTGTTTCATTATGAGGTAATTTGACATAATCCTTAGATAATAAACAAGATATTATAGCTGTACCATCTGTAGCCTTCAGCATTCATTCATTAATTCATTCATTCACCCTTTGCAGCTCAGTGCAGTCACGTTACTTTGAGTTGAAAATTGAATTACATTGTGTCTCTTCTCTACTACTATAGTGGGTGTGGAATATGAACTCACTAATGAATGGTTTTGGGCAGTATATTGGGACACAGGACTCAGAACTGGATTATCCCATGTATGAAGGGACATCTGGCCACACGCGCACAGCAGTCAATACTTTTTCATTGCAAGAATTTCCTCGATCACAAATAGAAAAAGAAACATTGAATCCATTTACTTAACTTTATAATACAAGCATCGCATGTTTTATAGTGACCAGTGCTACTCACGCGTGCCGTCGAAACGTGTGGCGATCGTGTCCAGGAAGGTGTTCTGAGGCGCGATGAGACCCCGCATGACAGGCATCCGAGAGCGGGTGGACCCTCTGCGCTCCCGGCCACGCTCCGAGCCATGGTTCTCCGCTGTGGTGGTCACGAATCCGGGCAAGAAGCTGCCTGGAGCTGACCCCCCCAGACCCTGCAGGAGGGCGCCCAGGCGAGACACGCGCGACTCCACGGCTGCAGATTTGGGGGAGATAAGCGTGAGAGAAAAAGTAGGGGGGAGAAAATATGTGTGTGGTGAAAACAGGGAGTCCAGGGAAAGGACTGATGGATGGAGAACGCGCGCATTTACGCACGGGCTATCTCTCCAAATCCTCCCTCCTCCCGCGCGCTTAGAGACGGGCAAGTTAAACCAGGACGAAACCCAAGAGGCATGGATTAGTGGATGCAAAGAAATTCTACCAGGGTTAGTGAACATGCAAATATTTGATCTTAATTGACAAAGGTAAATTTTAAATCGTAACTTTCAAAGCAAAAATTAATAGTTTTCTTCATCACGTTATAGCAATAGTGATTCCCAAGACTCTCTCCTACTCCTCTTTTCTTAGCCTGAATATGTGTTTTTTTTTTTTTATAATGTTGCATTCTAATTAAGCATAATGTTTGCAGGACCACGATAAGAACCAAAATGGAGGTGCAAGTGAGTGAATGCTTTTTATTGGGGCAGCATAAACAAACCCTCCAACAGACTAATATGATGACTAATTTCAAAGAGCTAATCCGCAACTGAGTTTTTCTGAGTGATTAACAAAAACATGCAGAAAGCAAAACCGTGCTGCGTTGGACTTGTTGAAGAGTGGCGCCATCTTGTGGTTGTATTTATGTGATACTGTTTGCAATCTCAAAATCCGATATAAAGGTACTTACAGTTGAGAAAATACATCGAAAACAGGCATGTAGTTTTCATCGTGCCATAGGGTATAAAATATAATGGGCATAAAATAACCACGTTTTGACCCTGCTATAAACTAACACGGTGAGCAGCCTAAATCTGTTGGCAAAATGTTGCATCATGATGGGTATAGAATACATGTGAATAATATACGTACACTGTAAACCCGAACAATTTAGCAGTAATTAAAAAAATTTATGTAAACGGTTGCCTTACCTTTTTTAACTTTATGGTATTGAATTGTTTAATTGCTCCAATTTAAAAAGATTATGTACTGTGTCCTTAAAGTTTTTGATTTGAGTTAATTAAATTTTTTGGTCAGTGAAAACACATTTTTAATTTAAGTGAGAATTGTATTTTTTAATTATTTGTAATTAAATTATTATCTCAAGAGTAATCTTATATTTTGATTGCTGAAAAATTATATTTTTTAACCAATTTAACACAAGTAAATCATTATATATATGTGCTGCTTACTTAATATTTTTAACTTGTAGCAATCAAGTAATTTAATACCATGAACTTATAAAAAGTAAGGCAACCATTTACCTCAAAACTTTAAGTTACCATTTAATTAAAAATACATTAAATCATTTGGTACTTGAAAAAGTTAAGTGAAAAAGACTTTTGAAAATTACATTTTTATTAATGCAAAATATGTTTCAAAATGTCATTAGAGCCATAAAAGGCCAACAAGAGTACAACAATTCTTTTACTCAACAGGAAGTTTCTCAAAAGGGAAAAGTTAGTCTGAGAGAAAGCTTGAAAAGTCAAGCCCCTGAACTATTTTTGTTCAAACAACAAAAATCGGTAAATCAATTCTTAAAGCCAGATTGGCTTAGGTGCAAGTGTACCAACAGTTCACACATGTTTATTAAGGTAGCTTTACAGTTTGTGTGTCTTGAATGTATTTAACAAAATAAAAAATACACACAGAAAAAGACAGTTGAAAAGGTTATCCGTTTAGATTGTCAACTCATTTTTCAAAGTCTGCAGTCTAGGGGAAAGCTTGCCATCATCAAGTGCAAGAATAACTTTTTGCACCAACTCAAACGTTAGCTTCAGCTGTTTGGGATAACTGATGTGAAATGCGTATATGAGTCCAAACATTACCAGGAAGGCTTCTGGAAAGTTTTCTAAGGTCACAACCTCTTGACCCTCCAACACTACGGAGACCTGGTTTCCATAGTTCACTGGGCGGTCGCCAAAATGGACTTTGGATAGAATGGCTACAGGTGAAGTGGATAGATCCGGCACCTCTGCATCCTCCTGTGACAACATGTACACAGATACAAGATGGATCGAAACAAATAAGGATAAAGTAGTTTAAAATATTTTTTTACACAGGCACCTACTTCTGAAGTGATGAAAACCCCTGATATTTCTTCACGCAGGAAAGCAGGTAGACAATGGAGCACGGTTGTGCGTCGAGTGTGGACATCATGTTGGATCTGGGATAAAAAAAAAAAAAGAGTTTAGGGTATGTTAGGTCAGGAAAATAAAATATAGAGACAGCAGAGGAGGAAGAGGCAGCAGGAGAAACAAAGGAGAGGAGGCGACAGGAGAGACAGCAGGATGGACGACAGCAGAGATAAGCAGACAACAGCATAAAGAGCCAAGCAGAGAGAAAAGGCGACGAGAGCAGAGGGAGGAGAGAATAAGAGCGAGAGAGGAGAGCAGAAAGGAGAGAGCAGAGAAGGGAGCGAGAGAGGAGAGAGCGGAGGGAGGAAAGAGCAGAGAACGAGGAAGGAGAGGAGAAAGAGTGAGGAGAGCGCATAGAAGAGAGCAGAAAGGAGCAGAGAAGAGCAGGGAGGAGGAATGAGCAGAAAAGAGCGAGAGCAGAAAGGAGAGGAGAGAAGAGCGTGAGGAGAGAAAAAAGGGGTGAGAGGAGGAGGAGAGAGAAAAGTGAGAGAGCAGAGAACGAGAGAGGAAGGAGAGGAGTAGACGAAGAAAGCAGAGCAGAGAGGAGAGCAGAAAAGGGAGTGAGCCGAAAAGGAGAGGAGAGCAAGAAAAGGAGGAGAGCAGAGAAAAGAGGAGAGGAGAGAGAAGGAGCAGAAAGAAGGAGAGCAGAGGAGAGAAGGAGAGGAGAGCAGAGAGAAGGAGAGGAGAGCAGAGAGAAGGAGAAGAGAGCAGAGAGAAAAAACAGATGAGAGCAGAGAAAAGGAGAGAGCAGAGGAGAGCAGAGAGAAGGAGAGCAGAGAGAAGGAGAGGAGAGCAGAGAGAAGGAGAGCAGAGAGAAGGAGAGGAGAGCAGAGAGAAGGAGAGCAGAGAAGGAGCAGAGAGAAGGAGAGGAGAGCAGAGAGAAGGAGAGCAGAGAGAAGGAGAGGAGAGCAGAGAGAAGGAGCAGAGAGAAGGAGAGGAGAGCAGAGAGAAGGAGAGCAGAGAGAAGAGCAGAGAGAAGGAGAGCAGAGAGAAGGAGAGGAGAGCAGAGAGAAGGAGCAGAGAGAAGGAGAGGAGAGCAGAGAGAAGGAGGAGAGCAGAGAAGGAGGAGAGCAGAGAGAAGGAGGAGAGCAGAGAAGGAGGAGAGCAGAGGAGGAGAGAAGAGCAGAGCAGAGAAGAGCAGAAAAGAGCGAAAGAGCAGTAGAAGGAGAGGAAAGCAGAGAAGGGAGAGGAAAGCAGAGAAGGGAGGGGAGAGCAGAGAGGAAAGGAGCTGAGCAAAGAGCGAGAGGAGAGAGCAGAAAGGAGGGAGGAGAGAGAAAGCAGAGGGGAGAAATGAAGGAGAAAAAGTACAACCCTGTTAAATTAAAGGAACTATGAGGGTGCAGAGTGAATGCCAGATAAAATACAAATCCCATAAAAAGTGCTGAACTGCACAGTATAGTACCTGCTCATCATGAACTTTTAAAATGGACGCCAAAGCATCAGCAGTCTTGCCGTTTTTAGATGCCTTTTGTCTGAACAGTGTCATCAGACGGTTGGTGTACACATCTAGTCCAGCATAGAAGGAATTCTGAAGATTCAGGTTGGTTATGCGTTGAAATTCAGCATGCACCTGCAAAAATAAAAGAAAAGTTGTAAATCCATTACCAGCAAAAAAAACAATGTTTTGTTTCGATTACCATAGACGGCAACTGAAGCGCAGGCCAAAGCTCCAGCAAGGTCTTCACCGGTGCTGCAGAAACCACAATGTTTTGTCTCCGAAGGGCAAAGGTACTTTGCATTAGTTTTCCAACTGTGGCCATGTTCTTGTCTACTTTTTTCATCTCCTCCACAATTTTTTCTCTTTGTTCTTCAAGTGTAGATGCATTCTCTCCTTGAGGGAAGTTGGGCAGAAAGTTTACTTCCGCTCGTCTTGCCTTTTTAATAGCGGAATGTGAACACTCTCCATCCGGGTTACTGTGACTTCTTTTGCCAGCGTTCACCATTACTTCCTGACACCCAGCTTTTCTCATTTTGGTTCGTATGTTTGCCATTTTGTATGTCAAGCTATTTGCCCAGGCATCATATCCTGTTCCTGATCCTTTTTCCTTTAAACATGGGTGTTTTTCGACAAGTGCTGCAGCTGCCTTTTGTATCTCACTTTTGCTTTGGTAAGGCTTAAATCCATATATCACTGATGCCATTTTGTCTAGTATGTCATGTCTCTGATCCCTGGTAAGCTTTAGTTGACTGCCATTTCTTTCAAATTCTACCAGACCATCCCTTAAAATCAGCTCTACGTCGAGACCAAATGACGGTACAGGAAACTGAACAGTTGGCCATCTACACAAACGCTCAGGGGAAGATGCGCCTGATACAATGTCAGTTGATGTTTCACTTGAATCTTCTGTGCGCTTTATATGAACCACGGCTTTTTGTGGTAGTTCATTTATGTCAACCAGAGATGTGAGCTTGCCGTCAAAATCAGGGTCTTCATACATCAGAGTGAAGTCTGAGTCAATACTTAAACCCTCCTTTAATCTATGAATTAGCACTTGAACAGAGGAAGGGCGATAGTTAAGTTTAAATTTCCGCACGCTGTCTGGCTCAACAACACGCAAAATCAAGTGTTCCGTTTCACTGTCCATTTCTGCAAAAAAGTAAAAAATAAAAAATTCAGTTGTGACAATTTGTATACATGCATCGCAATAACTTATTCAGGCTTATTTTGAGCACTGCAGCCGCCAATTAAATTCTTTACAGTGGTTGAATTAATGTGAGTAAACTGTTTTAGTGTAGGTAATTCATGCAATTCACTCTGCAATCAGCGGAGAAGCAAGTTGTTCCATCACGATGAGTTTTCAGGAAACAATCCAATTAATAATGAATCCACAAAATTAGATGCCAAAGCAATGCATATATTTTTTGAATATCATTGATTATATATTTTGTTGTTAAAAGCTCAAGTCAGACACTTCATATAGTGTAACTGTCTTATTGGCTGCAGAGGGAAGATAAAAAATATCAATAAGATGATAATGATTTGTCACATTATGAATTTTACACTTTATATCCCTATTCAAAAAAGGATGCATACTTGCATATCATCACTCACTGAATTTATTCTTTAACCAGGATGAATTTCCTTGGGGTCAGGATCAGAATACCACTGGTCTTGTAAGCCGAGAGTGGTGTTGGATCATTGAAGTCACACTGCTGGTGGATAGACAAATGTTGTGGGGAAGTCAACTCGTATGAACGTAGATGCTCTATAAACCAAGAGACATATCTAAGGAGGAGAAAATAAACTGAGTTATTTACCAAGTAAATGTCTTTAATTTCTCCAAAAGTAGGAAGCCCACAATAACCCCGATACCAAAATGGAATCAACTCGAGTTGCTTGCACCTCAGGCTTGAAGTATGATGGTGCACTGATATGATATGCCATCATATTTTGATGTTTGTTGGCCAATGTTTTCAACACATTTTTGAAGTTCTGTGCATCTCTGACTGCCCTCTTGAAAAAACGATGCTTGGCCTCAAATCGCATGGTCCAAACATTTACTATAGGTCCAAAACGCTTAATCAATTCTGGATAGTGTTCCAGATAATGATGTTTTGGCCTTAGCCTGAAATCTGGAAACGCAAGCTGCAATGCCTGCCTATGATCACCGATTTTCCGGCTAAAGAAGTCCAACAGGCCATCTGTGAAAGCGGGACATAATGCTAACTCTATCACATCTTTTAACTCCATAAGCACAGTCCATGACAGGTCACCCTCAGGCACTTTACTACCAATAAGGAAAGGAAGTAACCGGGGGCATTACCCCCAATAGTTGCCCTCACTAGGAATGACTTTGGTAATGCCTGTGGTCTGTTCACTTTGTCTGTGCGCTGGTATGGGAATGATGTTATTCTGTGGTTTAAATACTCAAATGAAAAGAGCTTCCGCCTGATCATTTCTTTTAAGCAAAGAGCTAGTTCCACAGGAACTGCACCCTCTAAGAGGTCATGCAGCAAGTCTGGAGGAAAATCTGATGTTGGGTGGAAATGCTGCAGTGATTCAGCAAGAACACAGGCCCCCTTAACACCATATTTACTGCTGGTAATCTCACTTTCCAAGACCTCTTGGACAAGCAAATCATGACTCTCTTTAGTCCTCATCAAAAACAATTCATCCCCCAACTTCATTTTGCTTGAAATTGCTCATTTGTAGCCAAGCAAAATCTGCAGACATACTCTCCTCTGAATGACTCTAAAAAGCCTCCTAGTCCATGAGCAGCCAGGTTGTCCGCGCACACACAAAAGATAGTGCCTTTCACGTTGCGGCCCAAAGACTCTATAAAAACTCCATCATTCTCACAGAACCTGGAGCTCACGGATAAGTGGGCCCAGCACAGCAGCATAGCCATATTCATGCACATCACTAACTTTTGCCAACATCGCCAACTGTATAGTGTGCATTGCTGACCTATACTTGGGTTCCAGATTGGAAAGTACCCAGTACACGGCGCATAGCTTATGCCACCTTTCCGTGATTGTACCAAGAGGATTTTTTGCAATTTCAAGGTCATCAATATATAGCTGAATAGCAAAGCACAAGTCTTCAGTGTTCAACAACTTTGTTTTCCTTGAAACTAAAACCATCTTGATAAGATGAGTAGTTCCCAATTTCAGTGTTTGT